TGTTCGCCGGCCAGAATTTTTGTTTCCTCCTGTTTGAATAGGGATCAGAGAGATTATGTCTCATTGACTAAGGTGTTCACCTGCGACCCGTGCGTACGTACGAAGGACGGCGTCAGATACAACGAGATTTTGAAAACGTTTTACTAGTAGTAGATCTATGGGTCGCATAGTGCTTGCTTATTTTTTTATTTTTTTTATTTTTTTTTTGTATCGTCGATATTAGACCCAACCTTGGGCCTAGCATTATTGATTATAGCATCGGACTTTTGTTGAAGAGATCTAGGGATCGAGACCGAGCACCGACGATGCTGGGATCAGATTGGCGCGAGTGGCGGCCGTGGTACAGCTTGGTAAGTCGGCGCAGACGCTAGACGGCCGCGCGTACGGTTGTGGACAGGGATGAGGCTTAGGCCAATTCCCCTGGCCCTGAGCGTAGCGCTGCACTGCCTTATATGGCAGTCCGCGGAAGTGGGTCTCAGGCTTGGGCTTAGCCCTATAGGTTATAGCACTAAACTGATACGCAGCGGGTACGGGGATCGAGGCCAGCAGCCAGCGATCGAGGAGCGAAGGAATGCGAAAGGAAGGCTTGAGGGGTTGATGGTCCTCACGACCGTCCCCTTCGCCTTTTGCCCCTCGGAATAATGGCGGGCCCGAGGTGCCAATAATTCCCCTAGCCCCGCCTGTAAAAATTTTCTTTTTTTGATTTTATTTTTATTTTTATTTTAATTCTGTTTTCCCACGATTGGGACTGCCCCGTTGTGCTCTGGGGCTTGGTACTTTGTATACCACAAAAGAGGCCGGTCGGGAAGGATGGAGTGTCGGGGTGGAGCAATGAGCTCCAGAAGTATAAGTCAAGGGACAGCGCCCGACATTCAGTGAGGTCACTGCAAAAGCCATGCCAGAGCGCTGTCTCGTTGACCGGCGCTAAGGAAGGGAGGCGGTCGTGGCCATTAATCGCAGCGCGGCAGCAGGGATGAGTGGCGCTGTGGGACCTAGCGATGCTGCAGTCGGAAGCGTGGCGGGCAGGTGACTGTCGACGACGGGGGGGGGTGTGAAGGCAGCGCGGTTAGGAACGGGCGCTGAGGTGGCAGAGAGAGAGAGGAAGAGGGGGCTCGAGCAGCGCTGCGCAGGCAGTGGGTGACGAACAGCGAGTGGTGGACCAGCGGGAAAGAAAGAAATGAATAAAAATAAAAACAAATGAATCCGGTCCGGATTCGCGACAAGGTGCATACGGGGTGAGGGGATGGCTATGGCGCACTAGAAAGCGCTGAACTCACTCGATTTTGAGCGGGATCGGGCAGGGGAAAAGGTGATCTGGGGTTTTTGAAGAGTGGCGAATCAGATGATGATGTTAGTTTTAGATGAGAATTAATAAACTTAGTGTTAGTAGGAAATAGACTGCGCGAAGCTATGGCGGGCAGCGGGAGTGATGAGTGATAAAGGTGGATAACTTCCCCGTTTCTCGCTGAGAACAGGCGGGGGAGGGATCGAACTAAGGGTTTTCGGTCGCTGTGAGTTGGATGGTGCAGGCGGATTCGGCGATG